AAAATATAATTTATATGTTTAAAAATGTCTATTTATTCCCCTAAAAAAATGTCTATTTATACAAATTTTAAATATAATTTATATACTCAAATATAATATTTATTTGTATATAACTTATTATAGAATTTAGTAATATATAATAAACATTTAGTTTGTTGCACTTTAATGTAATTTTTTCATCTTGTTGCACATATGCTTTTCCCTAAAAATCTATAATTTTACTCGCACAAATACAACAGATTTGACTAAATATGAAAATGCAAATTATATTTCTCAATTATGTGTTTGTTTGTTAAATATCAATATCCAAAAAAATATTTATTATTTTTAATAATTATCTTAAAAATTATATAAAAGTAAATAATCATTTTTCTAAAAGCAAATTCGAATAGTGAGTTTTCAAAACAAAATTGCAATGACAATTGAGTTGTAAGAGAATAGTCCAGCGAGGTCCACAATAATGGGCCTAGCGTCCTGTTATGTTAACAGTTAGGTCTAACACATTATTGGGCAGAAAGTGTTATTCATTTCACCTGAGCCCAGTTAGATAGAAGAAAAAACAATGGACTGGGACATAAATCATGTAGTTTTTTTTATTCTTATTTTAAGCACCACTTTTTTAATTCTAGAAGAAATTTATAAATCACTTACCGGAATTCAATTCCATCTATCTTGATATTGTCACGTTATTCCATGTACGACAATAGGGGATATATAATTTTTGGAAGGGGGTCTAAAGATAAATTTGGAATTGATAAAGAATTTAGTACACTTTATCTCCAAAATTTAATTATATATTAACAAATTTTTTATTAATAAAAATTACGATCACTACAACACGAATTTATTATTTAACTCTCACCACTGTACATACTATTTTAATTCTCACTGTTAACAAATTTTTTATTAATAAAAAAACGCGAATTAAAAAATTGCGTCACTTGACTTGGCTGACTCATATCGCATATTTTAAGGTTCAGATGCCGGAGAAATGAAAGTGGCTTTTCCCTAAAGTCCTGACTCAATTCTGCTCCACTGCTTCAAATAAACAAAGCTGCTGTTGGAGTTCCTTGTCTTCATGCAACCAATTGACTATTCAGCATGTTTTTAAGGAATCGCTGCTATACATTTTCTAACTTGTATTTTGTAAATCTTAAAAACATACTTAAACCTAAACTTTAAAAGAAGTTACTTTTTGTGTGTAGTGTGTACTAAGATCATTTTTCCGAATAAATAGTTTATATAATTAAGTTTTACACTCTTTTTATTTTAGTATAAATCATATATACCTTTCAAAAGAAGAAAAAAAAAAACAAAAACAATTTTGTTTGAGTCAATAAGATAATTACAGACACAAAATCTGTGCATACTGCCATCCATAATCACATGTTAAATTACTTACTTCATCCATAATCACATGTTCAATTACTTACTTGAAATATAGAATGAATATCAAGTAGTATTAGAGCATCTTCAATGGAGTTGCTTATAAGCAATCTTTTGTGTCACATCATTACCAAATCAGCTTTGACTCATTTTATGGGTTGCTTAAATTTTAACAGAGTTGAATATTTTTGTCATAAAGTGAGTCAGAGCTGATGTGACAGTGATGTAGTACAGGAATTGCTTATAAGAAACTCCCATTGCAGATGTTTTTAGACTCTTTTCTCTTAAGGAATATATTAGGTTTAAATATTGTGTATAAAAATATATAATTGAAGGATGATATTTCACTTAATCAGATTTGAGGACAAAAATCAATCATATCTGAAGGTTATTTCTACCAATAACATAAAAATAAAAAAAAATGTAGGCTGAATAAATAAAATGAACAAAGTCCTGGAAAGACGCAACCTGGTCCCTGATATGGTAAAGTTGAAGGGCCCAGGCGAAGTTATCTGGTGAATATTTTTGGTGAAGCATGAATTATGATTGAGGCATGTTAAGTCGAAGAGAAATTAAATTGGAGAAGCTGGGTCCGTAGCACCAGTGGTGGTGGAGATACAAATGGAAGGGCCTTTCCCTTTCAAGAGGGACCCATTTTAGGATTGTTTCATCATTTCAATTTCAATCGTAACAAATATCAAATTCAGATCTTTGTGTGCGCTGGTAAACAAATCCATCGTCGCCCACAGCTACGGCCCAATCGTCGCTTTCTTCTTACGTGCTCTATCAGTTTATCCCCATTCATCATATTCATCGTTATGTAAAAGGATGACAAAAATATTCACACTCGCCCGTATTTGTAGGTAAAATCTGTTACAGATAATAAATGAATAGACTAATTGGGTACTCGCAGATAATGGGGACGGATAATTTTTTACCCATTCATAAATGGGACATGACGGGTATGATGATATCCATACATGTGGGCATTGACGGATTCACATTGTGAGTAGTGGAGGCACTTGCCCCCACTACTATATCACACATAAATATCTTTTTATTTAAAAAATAATATATTTTAAAAAAATAATTATATTTTAATAAAATAAATAAAATATATTTAAATTATCATATGTATAAAATATAGATTCAGAAAAGAGATTCATTTATTTGATATTATCAAACTTTTGAAAGATATTAATTCTCTTATGTGATAAAGAATATTTATTAATAACGAATCAAATTTCTTAAAAAGTCTAATTATAATATATATAGAGTTAATCACCTATATACTGACAGTTTAAAGTTTTTTTACATTGGCAACCAACTATATCTTTTAATTGTGCCCTATCTTTCACGTGGACCGACACGTGCTATCCTATCAAACATCCACGGGGACCTCGAACACGACTATGGTCGTATTAACAAGACACGAGATCATTAATAGCTCAACCATCGGCTCGGCACATGGCCGAAACCAAGGGAACAATAGCAACCTCGGTTCGACTAAAGACCGGTAAGATAAACCAAGGCGGCATGATAAGGCTTCACATAACCTATGTATCGTCTCGGCCAAAGGCCGAGGATTAAGGGTGGCCCACCACATACTCATTGGTCCGTTCAAAGGCTAAGAACGAAGGACAACCCAACACTCTATCTATCGATTCGGCCGAAGGCCGAGAACGAACGGCAACCCCCAAGTCTTTATCTATCGGCTCGGCAATAGACCAATAGGGCCAGGCAGAAATTAAGATGATGGTCACGATTAACAAGGGCAAACGCGCGATTAAGGCATAATCATCCGATTAGCATCGTATTACCTAATTTGGTAAGCGTTAGAAGAGACCCACTACGTGTAGGGCCCATCAAAGGTTGTATAAATAGGTAACTTAAAACGAGGTATGTTACTGTTCATTTATTGCTCTCGAGAATCGTGCTTGTCCTGATTTAAGCGTCAGAGTACCTTTTGCAGGTACCTCCCCCCTCCGAAGCAACCGCCCGGAGCTCTCGTTCGGCCTCTAGTTACTAGAAGATTACGAGTGTACCCTCAGACAGGTACAGGTAATGACGAAAAATAGGGATGAGAAAATCAACTCTGGTGCATATTTTAATACTTGAATTTATGTTATGTTATGAATTTTTGTTTCCAATCTATTAATCCTGGTTGGCATTTTGAAATAGCCCGTTCTGAAACCAGAACGATCCATTTTTAAACCAGAACGGGCCGTTCTAATTCACTCGTTGTGTGTTACATTTGTATCTGGAACGATCCATTTCAGTTACAAAATTAACACACAACGAGTGGGATTAGAACGGGCCGTTCTGATTTTAGAACGGGTCGTTATGGTTTCAGAATGGGCTGTTCCAGGTTCATGAAAAAAGAAGTATGAGAAGTTGCCACCTATGTATCTACGTGGCATTCACGTCATTTACATTTGATACCGTTTATAAAATTTGGACGGAAAGTCCCACATTGACATTTTTTAAATTATTAGGGACCAAATTGAAACAAAAAATTATAAAGGGACGAAATTAAAACTATTAATTATTATAAGGGACCAAATTAGGTGTTTTAATATTTTAAAAATAAATTATCAATAAATAAAAATAATTTTTAATTAAAATATAAATTATTTATCATAAATGTAAAATATATTTATTTAAAAGTAAAATATAACATATATTCAAACATAACATCTTTTTTACATATAATTTATTATATTTTAATTTATAACATATATAAAGGCGATAAAGTAATTTGCTATACATATTTTTTAGATTATTTTACCATTAAATTTTTACATAATATTAAAAGACTCGAACTCTAGGCCTTGAAGTTTGAGGATCAAACACAACATTAGTTGATCTAGCAAACATCGGTAATTCTTAAATATTATTATTAAATAAAATATAGAGACACGAAGTGTCTTAATTCTCACTAGTTATATTTAATAAACATTTAAAATAAGCGTTGTACATACTAAAACATCAGTGTGTGTGTATTGAACTACTATATCATTTTAGAATTATAAAAATTACGATATAAATAATATTGAATATAATATCACATAATTTAATAATTAGAATCAGTTAAATTTGCATTATACAAAAAGTTATTAAATATATAAAAATTGGTATATACTTTTATGTCAATAAATCTTTATTTGTATATATAATATTATTTCTCTTTTATCTTTTTTTATTATATTTTATTAACATTTGTCTCTTCTCTTATCAATATAATAATTGTTTTCCAACCGTCAAAGTTCAAAACATTCACATTTTCATTAAAATGAATGAATACTAAAAATTGTCATGTAAATAATATTTTAATTTTCATTTATTTATTTTTAATTAAGACCAATTTAATGGCTTGAATGAACCAAGTTGAACTAGAAAATTATGACCTTAAAATAATAAGTCAACTTGACCTAATCTAAAATTATTATTTGGTTGGTCAAATTAGTCTCACTCATTTAATAACTCTAATTAGAGTACATACTCTTAAAGAAGTTTATAATTAATGCATTTTATTAAATTAGAGAATAAATTTTAATTAAGAATATTTTAGTTTAAAAAATTAATATAAAAGATAAAATGAATTAATTTTTATAAATAATAATATTAAATCTTGTATATAATAATAGAAATAATATTATTTAATTCTTATTTAAAATAAATGTATTAGGAAAAATTCAAGTTCTATATCGACTAAAGATTAGACAATTAAATAATATATAAGTGAAAAACAGCTTTTATTTTATAAGCTAGTTTTGTAGATTGAATTAGGCTCAAATCTTTTATTAAAAAAAAAAAATGGATTCGTGATTGTTTTTCCTCTCATGTGTATATATATAGAAAGTGTTAGGCGTAGGTAGGTTAAATATTTGACGGAGTGATTTAGATATTTACTCAAAGACAGCTATGCAGTGTGAATGCGTTTAGAAGTTGAAATCTCTTGTGATAAATCAATAAATGAGTCTTGTTGGTCATAATAATAACTCACACCTAGTCTCCTTCTCCTCTCGTGTGTGTATATATTCTCATTCATTCGCTTACTCATAAAACAAAAGGCCAAGAGCGTTAGAAAGCACGAATAACACAACACACTGGTTCTCTGTTTCTCCACCACCCCTCTGCGATCCGTGTAGCTTTGTTTACGATCGAGAAGGAAAGGCAAAAGCCTGCGTTGTCGTGAGATATGGTGGGGTGTTCTTTGCGGCAATACCCAAATTCTTGGGTACTCCTCTACCAACCCCCACCACCGCATTAGTTAATTTCCCTCTTCGATCGGACAAAGGTTCGAGTAAGTTAAGATAAGATGCTGGACTCGGTTCTTCTGGCGCTTTTCTTGCCCTGTCTTGGCATGAGCGCGGTTTTCATTGTCTACATGTGCCTTCTTTGGTACGCCACTACCCGCTACAACCCCGCCAATGACGCCCAACCGGTCAAGCCCGTCGCCGAAAAGGGCCTCTCCGCTTTGGAGTTGGAGAATATCCCCAGAATCACCGGCAAAGAACTCGTCTTGGGCACCGAATGCGCCGTCTGCCTCGACGACATCGAGCCCGAGCAACCGGCCAGGCTGGTTCCCGGTTGCAACCACGGCTTCCATGTCCATTGCGCTGACACCTGGCTCTCCAAGCACCCTTTGTGCCCCGTTTGCCGATCTAGGCTCGACCCTCAATTTTTCACTTCCCAGAACCCCTGCTGATCCACCAACAGGGATTTTTTTTTTTTTTTTTTTTTAATTTCGTGATTAATTAGCCTTCTTGTTTTCTTTGTTTCTTATTATGAATATGGTTGTGGTGCCATGGCCCTGATGAATTAGCTTTAGCACCGAATTAACATGTAGCCAGAGCCAGGGGCGTAGTTTAATTTATGTTTTTCTTGTTTGAGTTATGTTGGAGGAGATGTATTTGTGAAGCTTTATAGAATTGTTCACTTTGTTTCGTAAAAAGGTGTCAGGGCGGGGAATTGACGCTATCACGTAACTCTGAGACACGTAGGTGAGGGTTGGTTCAAGCAAGTGGTTGGTCGTGAACTGAACGGTTTTCTTTGCTTTTTCCATCGGAGTCACAGAGAATGCGCAGCCTCATTTTTATTTTATCACCACAGCTTCATGCCACCTACAACGCTTTATTTTCATACTCATACACACTGCTAATCAATTCTAATTAAAAATATAATTATTATGCGTTGAGGAATAAAAAAAATGGGATTAAAGTGTAAAAGTAATAATTATTATACTTTTAAAGTCACATCTAAAATTTAAAAATGTGATACCAAAAACGTTCTATAATAGAAATTGAACATTCCGAATGGAAGCAAGAGCATAATTATTATTGCAAGGTCATGGATATGGCTGATTAAAATTGTTCAGTTTCTTATTTTGAATAACGTGTAGTGTTTTAAAATAACACTCTACCTTTCTCGGAGTATATATATATATATATATATATAATTTTAAATTTACACCTACTATTTAATAATAAAATGTTTATTCTTTATTCATAAAAATTCAAAACTATGAAAGAAAAAGTATGTAATTAAAAATTATATTTATATGAAAACAAAATATTTTAATGTAGAAAAATAAAAGTTTATTTAATAAAATTTTAACAAACATTTGGTTTTCTTGAAAAAAAATTCACATATAACATCTCAATTCATTTAATAAAAATATTTATAAATAAAATGGAATTAATAATTATTATCCTTATTTTTAAACTGATATTTAAATGAAAATTCATACTTTGTAAAAATATATAATTATCAAACTTTAAGTTCTAATTAAATAATTAAATAACTGGTGTAAAAATTATTCTAGTTAAATAATTATGTCTTATCATTTGATATCTATTAATTGATTAATTGAAGAGATGATTTCATTGAACACTTTTAATTTAATGTTCAAATTTGTACAACTAGTTTGTCAACTTTGAGAGCTTCTTTATTGATTGTTGGCATGGTACGGGGAACATGAATTAATGAGTGTGAGGAGTTTCATGAGTGAATAGGTTGAGAAGAAGAATGGTCATTCCTTTTGGCGTTGAGGTGAGGTTGGGAAAGAAAGCCAATAGCTGTCATATCGTAAGCTTTGTATGGTTGCATTTCACACGTTCACCAACATCCAACTCATAACCGTTTTCAAGATCTTCAGCTTTTCGGTCAAAAATACTTTCCTGTGAATCCATATATAAATAAAAAATATTCAAATTTTTTAGACTCTTAAAATTTTAATTTAATCAACTTTATTTAATATATTTAAAATAAGAATACTATTTATAATAAATATAATTAAAGTATTTTAATAAAATCCTAAAAATTAAATATATTCAAATACTTTTCTTACTATGTAACATTAATCTCTTTCTTATATTCTGATAAAACCACTAATTGGAAACGCCCAAATTCAACGTCACTTATTACGATTGGGGTAGCTTTTATTTGCTTGGATAAATTTTCACTGTTATTTTCATTTCATTTCAAAAAATATGTAAAAAAAAAATAACTGAAAAAAATAAAAATAGAACTTAAATATATTTTTAGTCATAATGAATTTTAATTTTTGTCCTTATGATTTTTTTTTATTTTTTATCTTGTAAAATTTGTAAACATTATATTTTGTCTTTATAAAATAAATAAAATTTGATTTTGTTCCTTGTAATTTATTTTTTTATTTTCATCCCTCTAAATTTTAAAGTCATTATTTTAAGTCTATAATGAGTATTTTAAGATATATATATATATATATATATATAATACTTGTTTTTAAAATTTATAAAAAAAAAAACTTAAAAATGTCACATGCAAATAAATATCGTAGACAGTAGACAGTTGTGAGTACCATTTGTGATGATCACGTAACTTTTTAACGAACATATAAGTAATTAAAGAGAGTCACATAATAATAAAGACTAAAATCATAACTTCAAATTTTAGGAGAATGAAAAAAAGTTAAAAAGATTAAAATAATTTGTCAAAACTAAAAAAATTCAAGTCATGATATTATTATCATTTTTTATAAATTTTTTAAATAAAATAAAATAAAAGTGATGCAATATTTTATAATTGTTATTAAAAATTTAAAAAAATCCAATTAATTTATCTCTTGAGTTACATGAAACTGAGATTTTATGATAAATAATTTATATTGTAATAGAAAGTTAAATTAGTTATTAATAATTTTAAAATTTTAAGTTCAATTTAAAATTAGAAATGAAAAACTCATAAAATCAATTAAAATATAATTGTTAATGTGAGACCTGTGGCTGTTCCCCCCTTTCTCCCTCTCAACTCTCTTTTCTCACTCACTCTTTTTCTCTCAAGTTGAAGAGGTGTTTCATTAGAGGTTCTTCTTCTCAGACGCAAGCCGTGTGGAGCTAGTTGGAGCCGGATATTCTTTGCTCTTCTCCGTTGAGCTCTTCTTCATATTCTTCCCCGTTTCTCCTTCCCAAAAGCTCGAATTTCTTCACCGAGGTAAGGGAAGCTAGGATTTTCTTGCCGGTTGTTTGTTTAGTGAGCTAGAAACTCACATGATGGCTGAGTGTTGCGGATTAATGGCTGAGATTTGATGGAAACGGGTTTTCGGGGTTTCCGGGGTTTTGATGAAAATTCGGGGATTTTCCTTGTTTGATGTTACATGTGTAAAAAGCTGGGATTTTTGAGCTGTTGGATAAAAATGTGGAGTTTTGAACCGATTGCATGTGTTTGGATGACTTGATTTGTGCAGGTTTAATGAAAATTTTTGAATTGGTGAGAGTTACTGTTTGAATTTGCGCCGGGCGCAGTTCTTCGCATCGGGCGTGATTTGAAATGGGGAATCCCTGCGTGAATCACGCCGGGCGTGGGGAGAACCACGTCGGACGCACTATCAGACGTGAATCTCATGTTTTTGTTACTGATACTGCGCCGGGCTCAGGATAAGTGCGCCGGGAACAATGGACCTCTGTAGGTCTCTGGTTGAGAATTGCGCTGGGCGTGATTTTAATGCGCCGGGCGTGCGTTTTTCTTTCAGAACTTGACTTTATAGTCTTCATGAAAGTTGTATCCTTGGATGTTAGCTTTCCAATGGCGCTGGAATCACCCAAAAAAGAGTTTTAAAATTCCAGATATGGCTGTTTTAGTGAAGAGGGGTCAAGCTGCCAGCATTGCTTATAGCTGTTGCGGTTTTTATCATTTTTGATAAGGTAGATGAAGGAATTAAGACTTGGTGTCTTCATGAGAGTTGTAGGAAATCTTCTTATCTTTCATATGAGATAAGGATGATCATGATAAGAGTAGTATAACTCCTGATACACTATTTTAAGTGGAGGTTGCCATTTACAATTAGTGATTTGGTTAAGTTGAAAGTTGTTTTAAGTGCTTAGGTTGATTGGTGTTGCTTGGGTGGATAATTTGGCATGATAGATGAGTTTTAAACAAGATGGATGAGTCGTATTATGTGTTGAACATGTTGTATGCTGTTTGAGATGTTATTGTTGTTAAGCTGAGCTGTGCCGAATGTTGTTGAGCTGAGTGATGATTTTGATGTGCTGTGAGATGTTTATGCTGCATCATGATGTTAAGCTGTATTTGATGTCTAGTACTATGCTGTAAGTTGTTTAGTTGTGTTGTGCTGTGCTGTAAGTTGTTTAGTTGTACTGTGTTGTGCTGTAAGTTGTTTAATTGTGTTGTGTTGTGCTGTAAGTTGTTTAGCTGTGCTGTGCTGTGCTGTAAGTTGTTTAGCTGTGTTGTGCTGTGCTGTAAGTTATTTAGTTGTGCTGTGCTATACTGTAAGTTGTTTAGCTGTGTTGTGTTGTGCTGTAAGTTTTTTAGCTGTGTTGTGCTGTGCTGTAAGTTGTTTAGCTGTGCTGGATGCTGATATTGTTGTGCTGTGAGCTGTTTTAAGTTGTGGTGAATATTATTAGCTGTGATGTAAGCTGTTAATGTTGTATGCTGATATTGTTGTGTTGTGCTGAGTTGTATGCTGTTATTGCCGCTATGCGATGCTGTTATTTCCGTTATGCGGTGCTGTTATTGTCGCTACGCAGTGCTGTTATTGTCGCTATGCGGTGCTGTTATTACCGTTATGCGGTGCTGTTATTGCTGCTATGCAGTGCTGTGCTTCGTGCTGTTAGGAGCTGTTGTAGGCCGTAAGGCTGGGCTGTTGTAGACCGTAAGACTGAGCTGTTGATCACTAAGACTAGAGGAGTTGTTTTCGAAATTTCCTCATCCCATTGTGTGGATTGAGTGGCTGTGGTGCTCTTGAAGCCCAATTTGTTGAAAACCCTCCCTGGAAAGCTGACCCTTGGAGTGGTAACTTGCTGTTCTCCTCTAAGTTCTTAGTGATCCCGTGTGTGGGCAAGGTCGAGGCACACATGTACAAAGCGACCACGGTATAGGGGCCAGGTCGAGCTATACCGATTACAAGCGACCAATACTAACTGTTATGCGTGACGACACATTGTGTGTTTACTGCTATTTATCGTTGTGTACTGTTGTTTACTGCTATTATTGTTGAATGATGTTAAGTGTGTGTTGTATTATATATATTATAAGCTGATGTTGTTAAGCTGGTTGATGTTGCTAATAGCTGTAGCTGTTTACCATTCATATATCTATATATATGTATGTTGATTCTTTTCACTAGCTTACCCTTTGTTGTTTCCATGTGTTTGGACTGCGATGATCATACGTTGTATGGGAGCAGAGCAAGGTTAGGTTGGTGACTTGGGGCAGGTCTGCAGCTGGCAGATAGAGCTGATTCTTTTTGCTGTTTTGTTATTTTTAGCTACTTAGTGTGGCATTATTGGATGAAATTTGTATACTCAGATTTTAGCCCAGATTGAACCTTGTATATATATATATATATAAATTCTAGACACTATATGTATATACTTGTTCTTTTCTGTGTGGTGTTGGGCAGTGTGTAGTGATGAGTCGGGTCGTTATAATTAAAAAATTAATTAAAAACATTTTCATTGAATAATCTTTGAAAACATTATGCAAGATAGTTTTTCATTTAAAATTATATAGAAAGAGTAAGAATCGAAATCATAATTAATATATGAAATTGTTTAATATGTTTAAAATAAATAAATATTTAATAGTAGTATGTATTTTAAATAGGACAAAACTTAGATT